AAATGAACCTAAAAAAGAGTATGTTAATAAATTGTGTAACAATAGTAGGATAATACAGTATATGAAAATTCGCTCTGATAATTCGTCTGTGCAAAATAATAATACATAACTGACAATTTGCACAGACGAATTATCAGAGGGAATTTTCATATCCTGTATTATCCTACTATTGCTACACAATTTATTAACATACTCTTTTTTAGGTTCTTTTGATAACGGTAGCAGAAAATAGCTATCAAAACGTCAAGGTAATTTTTCAAATTAATTTCTTTACTAATTGGAATTTTCTCTTACAGCTTGAGCCAAGTGTGTCGTAGGATACCCTCTAGGTGATAGTTCTTTATTACTTTTTGATAAATCATTATTTCTTATTGCGAAATAGGAGCACTATTTATCAATCTGTAATAGAAGACGTGAGGAAATTCTGTCTTTTTTAAAAACAAAAATTTTTGAGGCGAAATACCCAACAAGAAGTTGGTAAACAAATTTTCTTATTTTTTTAATATATCAAGCTTTCTAGCTTTTTGCATTTCACTTATTTGAGACATTTATATGTTCTACTTGCTTCGTTCAGTTAATACGCCGGCTTTTAAATTACATGAATTACTCGAATAATCGACAATTAACTTCACACGAGTGAGTCAACATCGAGAAGAGCTGGAGCATACATACTCAATATATACGTAGATGTAATCTGAAATGTTGATCCCTTGAAAAACTTTATCTAATGCTTGTTCATTCAGTGTTATGTTGGATTTCTGTTTCCATTAAAGATTTTCCATTATTCTTATATCTCTTTCACCTAGATTTTGCTAGATTTGTTTTTCAAAGAGTCGAAACAAGACATTAAAGTAGGTATACTAACACAATTGAATTTTCCTACCAACAACCTATATTTTGATGGATAATGCATACAAACAAATATGTTGAAAAGTAAGATCGTTTGTCGAAAAACTTTTGTTTGCAGCTGAATGAGGTAATTATTTTTATTTTATAGCTTGTGCTTTTCCATTTAGCTACCATATGTTCCATGTACCATGGTACCTACACGCAGGTATGAATTCAGAATTATTCAAATGTTCCACATATATATTTTATGAACAGTTTTTTAAAAGGCTCATTAAAACACGTCTATATATTTTTATCAAACTTATTGCTCAACTTTAGTGATAACATTCATCACTTATTTACAACTGCTAAAAACGCTTAAATACCAAAACTGATTTTACTGCGGGCCATTTGACCATTTATTGTGATTTTTATTAATTTTTTATTGATGTATTAAAATTTTCAAAGGTTAATATACAAAATAGGTTCTCGGTTTGAAAAACGCATGCTTCGATTGCTTTAAATCAAAATATCTCAATAAATGTCACTTTTGTGACACGTTTACGTAAAAATTTTCAAATTCGAATTATTTAATATCTATGAAACATTTTGAATAATCTATTCGTTTAGCACAGTCATAATATTTTTGATAGTTGGATGTTCACTTTTGATTGTGTCAGGGATGATCTCAGTTAACGTAGTAATCGCAATGATATAAATTGATCAAAAGCCAACTTACTTCTCAAATCGCATTGTTTTAATTTGTCCAGAAAAAAACCTGCCCATTAATGGACTCTTACTAAATATACGGTTGATTTCTCATGCGATTCGGCCCTCTAACAGAACATGCTGCTCACAGCTTTTACAAAAAACAAAAAAAACTCGCATGACATGGATTTTTCAGTCTCAAATTAGGTCGGTCTTAAACATTATGACAAACTTGTAAA